TCTAGTTCAGCAATTTCGTCTGACTTCACTGGCTCAACCGGCTTCGGCGGCTCAGCTGGCTTCACCTCCTCCACTGCTTTGGTCGGCTCAGCTGGTTGCGCTGCTTCGACCGGCTTGGCGGGCTCAGCAGGTTTTTCTTCAACCTGCTTGGCGGGTTCAGCGGGTTTTACTTCCTCGACCGGCTTGGCGGGCTCAGCATGCTTCGCTTCCTCAGCTTGCTTCGTCTCCTCGGCTGGCTTAGCTTTCTCAACCGGTTTTGCCGGCTCAACAGGCTTTGCTTCAACCTGCTTGGTGGGTTCAGCCGGCTTTACTTCCTCGACCGGCTTGGCCGGCTCAGCTGGTTGCGCTGCTTCGGCCGGTTTGACGGGCTCAGCAGTCTTGGCTTGCTCAGATGGTTTGACTTCTTCGAGCGGCTTGGCGGGTGCAGCAGGCGTCGTGGGCTCTGCTGGCTTGACTTCCTCAACCTGCTTGGTGGGCTCAGCAGGCGTCGCCTCTTCATTCGGCTTAGTCGGCTCAGCTGGCTTCGGTCCTTCAACCGGCTTGGTCTCGTCAACCGGCTTAGGCTGCTGAGCCGGCTTGGCCTCCTCAGTTGGCTTGACTTCTTCGATTGGCTTAGTCGGTTCAGCAGGCTTCGGTTCTACAACCGGCTTGACCTCTTCAACCCGCTTAGTCTGCTCAGCTGGCTTGGCTTCCTCGACTGGCTTAGTCGTCACAGCTGGCTGCGCTTCCTCTACAGGCTTGCTCGGCTCGACTTGTTTCACTTCCTCGACGGGCTTGGCCGACTTAGCGTGCTTGACTTCATCGGCCGGCTTGGTCGGCTTCGTTTTCTCAAGCTCCGCCTCGGCCTCTTCAGCTCCCTCAGCCCTTGGCTTCTTGCCGAGCTTAGCCTGTCCTTCGAGCTCATCTCCAGCAAGTTCGCCCGTCTGCTTCCCCTTCAGATCTTGCGCTGCCGGTTTGGGAGCCTGTTCCGGCTTCTCCTTCTTCGACAAGACCTTGACCTCGACGAGTTCCCGGTTATCGATTTCGACAGCAATCTCCAGATTGGCGGTGCCGGACTTCTTCACCAGGGTCAGGTCGAGGGTGGCTTGGTTGGCTTGTTCATCTGTAGGAAGGTCGGCAGGCTTGGCTTGTTCGACTTCGGCGGGCTTGGCTGGCTCAGCTGGCTTAGCCTCTTGGATGGGCTTCGCTTGTTCAAGTGGCTTCGCTTCTTCAACTGGCTTAGCTTCTTCGACAGGCTTGGCTAGCTCAACTGGCTTAGCCTCTTCGGCAGGCTTGGCTTGCTCAACTGGCTTAGCCTCCTCGGCAGGCTTGATCTCCTCAACTGGCTTGGCCTCCTCAACCTGCTTGACTTCTTCGACAGGCTTCGCTTGCTCAACCGGCTTAGCCTCTTCTACGGGCTTGGCTTGCTGAACCGGCTTAGCCTCTTCGAGAGGTTTCGCTTGCTCAACTGGCTTGGCCTCCTCGACAGGCTTAACTTGCTCAACTGGCTTAGCTTCTTCGACGGGCATGGTTTGCTCTACCGGTTTAGCTTCTTCAGCTTGTACCGGCTTAGACTTCAGCTCTCTAGTCTTAATTTCCGCGACTTCGGTGCTGAGCTCGGTGACGTCAACGTCGATTTTCGAGTCGGAAGCTTGCTTCGAGAACTGCAGCTCGACCTCGGCATCGGAGATGATGGCTTGAGGCTCAGCCGGCCCGGTTGGCTTGACTTCGGGAGATTCCTTCTTGGGTTCTTGAACATCAGCTGGCTTAGCTTCTTCTACTCGCTTGGCTTCGGCGGCTTGCTTGGCCTTGAGCACCTCATCAACTTCAAATTCTGCTCCCTCCGCCCTTGGCTTTTTGGCGAGCCTGGCTTGGTCATCGAGCTGCTCACCGGCAAGTTCTCCCGTCTGTTGTTCTTGGAGATCTTGAGGTTGTGGCTTCGCAGCTTCCTGGGCTTCGGCTTCAACCGGCTTGGTAGGCTCAGCTGGCTTAGGCTCCTCAGGTTCGCGAGGCTTCACCTGCTCCGCTACTTGCTCCGGCTTTGCCTCTACCGTCGGCTTGACCGGCTCAGCTGGCTTCGGTTCCGTCAGCTCGACAGACTTGGCTTGCTCAGCTTCAACCGGCTTAGGTTCGTCTGAAGCTTGCAAAGCAACTTCCTGAGTTTCAGAGGCCGGCGGGAGTGGAACCTTCTTAACCTTCTCAACCTTGATGGTAGCCTGTTCAATCTCTTCAAACAGTAGATCAACAGCTAGGCCGGCGATTTGGTCAGGTTTGGTGAAGACAAGCTCGACTTGGGCTTCGGAGACTACGACTTGAGGTGGCTGTTCAGCTTCCGTAGCTTCAGGCTCCTTGGCTGCTTGTTCAGCTACTGGCTCTGGCTTCGCCTCTTCAATCGGCTTGGTGGGCTCAACCGGCTTAGGTTCAAGCTCGCTAGGCTTAGTTTTCGCTTCTGTTGCCTTGTCTTCCGGCTTGACTTGCTCAGGCTTCGGCTGCTCAGCCTCCTTCTTGAGTTCTTCGGCTTGAGCTGGCTTAGCTTCTTCTACAAGCTTAGCTTCTTCAACTGGCTTGGCTTCGGCGGCTTGTCTCGCTTTGAGCACCTCGTCAGCCTCAAATTCGGCTCCCTCAGCCCTTGGCTTCTTGGCGAGCTTGGCTTGGTCTTCAAGCTGTTCACCGGCAAGTTCTCCCGTCTGTTGTCCTTGGAGATCTTGGGGTTGTGGCTGGGGTTCCTGAGCTTCGACTTCAACCGGCTTGATGAGCTCAGCTGGCTTAGGTTCCTCAAGCTCACTAGGCTTGGCTTGCTCATCGACTTGCAATGGCTTCGCCTCTTCCGTCGCCCTGGCAGGCTCAGCTGGCTTGACGTCCTCAAGCTCGATATTCTTGGTTTGCTCCGCTTCAGCCGGCTTAGGTTCTTCCAAAGCTTGCAAAGCAGCTTTCTGGGCTTTAGGTACCGGCGAAAGTGGAACCTTCTTGACCTTCTCGACCTTGATGGCTGCTTGTTCAATCTCCTCATAGAGTAGATCAACGGCTAGACCGGCGACTTGGCCGGGCTTGGCGAACACCAGCTCGACTTGGGCTTCAGAGACAATGGCTTGAGGTTGTTGAGCTTCAGGCTCCTTGGCTTCTTGTTCGAGCTTGGGTTCCTTACTCGGCTTGGTGGGCTCAACCGGCTTAGTTTCCTCAACCACGGTCGGCTTAGCTTGAGCTTCTGGGGCCTTGTATTCAGGCTTTTCCTGCTTCGGTTGCTCAGCCTCCTTCTTGCGTTCTTCAACTTCAGCTGCTTTGGCTTCATCTATAGACTTGGCTTCGGCGGCTTGTCTCGCTTTGAGCACTTCATCAGCTTCAAATTCGGCTCCCTCCGCTCTTGGTTTCTTGGCGAGCCTGGCTTGGTCATCGAGCTGTTCACCGGCAAGTTCTCCAGTCTGATGTCCTTGGAGATCTTGGGGTTGTGGCTTGGGAGCTTCTTGAGCTTCTGCTTCAACGTGCTTGGTGGGCTCAGCTGGCTTAGGTTCCTCAAGCTTACTAGGCTTGGATTGCTCATCTACTTGCGCTGGCATCGGCTCTTCTGCATGCTTGAAGGGCTCAGCTGGCTTAGCTTGCTCACGCTCGATTGGTTTGATTTGCTCAGCTTCAACCGGCTTTGGGTCTTCTGAAGCTTGCAAAGCAACTTCCTGAGCTTCAGGAACCGGCTCAAGTGGAGCCTTCTTGGCCTTCTGCACCTTGATGGCTGCATGTTCGATCTCCTCAAACAGTAGATCAACAGCTAGGCCAGCCACTTGGTCAGGTTTGGTGAAGACAAGCTCGACTTGGGCTTCGGTTTCAGCGGGTTGCCTTGGTTGTTCCGGTCCGGCTTCCGTTTTTTCGGAAACTTCCGTCTCCTTAGGTTGTTGAGCAGGTTCAGGTGCCGGTTTCTTGGCTCCTTGTTCAGCTACCGGCTCGGGCTCGGGTTCATTCGGCTTCGCGGGCTCAGCTAGCTTAAGTTCCTCAAGCTGGATGGGCTTGACTTCTTGAACTTCCTGAACTTCCGGAACCGTCTCCATCGGAGCCGGAGCCTGTTTCTCGGCCTTCTTGACCTTCCCCACCATGATGGCGGCCTGTTCGATCTCCTCAAAGAGTAGATCAACAGCTAGGCCGGCGACTTGATCGGGTTTGGCGAAGACAAGCTCGACTTGGGCTTCAGAGACAACGACTTCAGGCTTAGCTGCAGGAGCTTCCGGAGTTTCAGGCTTAGCTTCAATAGCTTCCGGCTTGGCTTCGATCACCTCAGGCTTGGCTTCAGGCTGAGCTTCAACAACTTCTGGCTTGGTTTCAGTAGCTTCAGGCTTGCCTTCAACAGCTTGAGGCACAGCTTCAGCAGCTTCTGACTTGGCTTCAGTCGCCTCAGGTTTGGCTTCGGTATCTTCCGACTTCGGCTTAACCTGGGCTTCATCAGCTTCAAACTCCGCTCCCTCAGCCTTGGACTTCTTAGCCAGCCTGGCTTGATCGGTAAGTTGATCCCCAGAGACTTCGCCAACTTGCTGGCCTTGCAGATTTTGAGCTTCGATTTTTGGCTTTTCTTCTTGAGCCGCTTCAGTGGCTTGCTTAACTGGCTTGGTGTGCTTCAAAGTGAAGTCCGCTTGATCTCGGGTGTCGATTTCAACAGCAATCTCCAGATTGGCCGTGGCTGACTTCTTCGTCAAGGTGATGTCCATGGTGGCTTTGTTGCCCAGCTCCTCAAGTTCGGCAAGTTCGGGCTTGGCTTCGGAAGGCAAGTCGACTTGTTGTTGCGTAATTTCGACGACTTGCTGAGCTTCAGGCTTGGGCCCAGCAGGCTTGGCAGGGACTTGTGCTTCAGGCTTGGGCTCAGAAGGCAAGTCAGCTTGTTTTTCAACAGCTTCAACAGCTTCTTGAGCTTCAGGCTTAGCTTTAGGCTTTGCTTCGGGCTTGGCGTCCGGCTTCAGCGACTTCCTCTTCTCGCGCTGAATCAGGGCTTGGCTGGCTTCGAGTGGGAGCTCAATGATTCCGATTTCGATCGTCGAGCTGACGACTTGCTTGGTGAAGATCAAGTCGATGGTCGCTTCAGCTTCTTGTACTTGAGCTTCAGTGACTTCGGGCGCTTCGACCGGCTTGGCCTGCAATGGTTGAGCTTCAGGCTGCGGAGCCTCAGTGGATTGTTCAACTACCTCCGGCTGTTCCGCTGGCTTCTCCGGCTTCGGCTCAGGCTGCGCTTCCGGCTTAACTTCCGGGACTTGGGGAACTTCCTGAACTTGTTGGACTGGTTCAGCTTCAACAGCTTTGGGCAGCTCCTGCACTTGCTGAACTTGTTGGACTTCAGGCCGCTTCTCTTCCGGCGTTTCCAACTTCGGTTCAGTTTCAACGACCTTCTGAACTACTTGAACTTGTTGGGGTTGTTCACCTTCCAGACCCTTTGGAGCTTTCGCTCTCTTCACCATTCCTTCCACCTTCTCCAACCCATACTCCACGACACCAATCTCAATGCCGCTGGCTTCCGCTTGTTTCTGGAAAACAAGCTCAACATGGGCTTGGGCTTCATCGGCTTGCTTCTCGAGCTGCTTGGCTTCGAAGCTCTCCGTCCTGACCGCCTTCAGGGCCATGGTCTCCTCCTTGGCCGCCTCGGCCAGGGCTTGGGCCTCGATCTCGGCCATCGGCTTCTCCACGGGGGGAGAAGCAACGTCTTCGGCGAGTTCGGCCGGCTTGGTGGGCTTCTGGAGTCGAGTGCGTGACTCGACCTGCTCGAAGCCCAGCTCGATGATGCCGATGTCGATCGTGGGGGCGGGTTTTTGGAAGAGTAAGTCGACTTGGGCTTCTGGAACGAGTTCGGCGTGTTCAGTCGGATGTTCTGCAGCAGCGACTTCAGCTAGTTCAGCTGGTTTCTCGGCCTGAGCGACTTCGGCGACTTCAGCGAGTTCAGTTGGCTGCAGCTCTTGAGCTTCCGAAGCTTCTTTAGCTGCTTCAACGACTTCAACAAGCTCACCCGGCTTCGTTTCTTCAGCTTCTGAAGGTGCTTTATCAGCTTCAACGACTTCAGCAAGTTCAGCCGGCCTCTCCTCCTCGGCGACAAGGTCGGCTTGCACTTCGGGAAGCGGCAAAGTCGACTCGAGCTCCTTGTGCTTGCGCTCGGCGCCCTCCTAAAAAACGAGTTAGATTTATCAACAAAAAAAATTGCGCTATACGAATGGACGGTTATTAATTATTAATTTTGTAAGCAAATCAAAATTATTAATTTTTGCGAAACACATTTTTTTTTACTTATGTTAATGATTTTCGTAATTTATAAAAAGTTCCTAATTCCATTATTTTTAGGTTATTCAATTCCAAAATTTCTATTAATTTCAAAAAGCAAAAATTAGGCAAATGCGCGCTGCAAATTGGCCGTTTTCAGAAATACCAAAGAATTATTTTTCACCAAACACATTTTTTACGACTATATGACGAATTTGTGATTTCTAAAACGTTCCTAGTTCTATTATTTTAACTCTTTCACTCCAAAATGTCCATTGCATTAAAAAATAGTTTTTGCAAGTGTAACGGCTCAGTAGTGCGCTTAATTTTCAAATTTTTGACTCAAAATCGGCGGAATCGATAGGGTTTTCGCGGCTTGATAAACGTTTTGATACTTTTGCGCACTAATAGATCCATTCAAATCACTCAAAATTCTTGATTTCAATCAACTAAATGACCTACTAATAATATTAAAGGTACGCGAAAGCCAGGTTTTTCAACTATATTGGCTATCAATTCCCTATGATTTTTGTCGCGCCGCGGCCCGCAACGCTTGTGCTGATAACCCGCTGTTAAGAGAGCGTAATCGATTACGCAATGACAAACTAACACAAACCTGGTAAAGGACAACATATCTGGTGTCGTCCTCCTCCTTGACGTCGACGGTAAAGTGCTCGCTGTCGTCGTCTTTCAGCACGTTCACCTGGAATGATTAATGTTGTATTTTGATCTATACCAAGCGACCGATTCTTTTAATTGGCCATTTCGGTGCTCTATCATGAGAAAATTGAAGTTTCAAAAAACCGTTTGATAGAGATTTTTACTGTTGGTTTTATTAAGGAGTTAGCACTATCGAGGTGGACGAATATGAAATATTTTAATTTACTCACATTTAAATGTAAATTTTTAGTATCTTTCTGAGCGAAACGAAGCAATTCGCAAAAACATGTTTCAAACATCTGTAAGCAATTTTCAGAGGTAAATTCCTTAATCGCGAGGGGCTTTCGCCGTGTTCCCTACGCTATCATCCCCGCAACCCCACATGCATATTGAACGTGTTTTAAAGGAGCTGTAAAGTATAATGGTAAATTTTAATATAAAAAAATATACCACTGTACCTTAACAATCAAAAAAAAAGATGAAATCACGATCCCAAAAGCATTTTTCAAAATTCTTGGGCCCATTTTTGGAATTAAATGTCTCAATTTCTTAAAGACTCCGTTTACAGTATGGACTTTTCCTCTACAGTAATCCTCACAGCATTTTAAAAGGGGATGGTCAGAAACATCGGCGGATTGTGTCGATAAAAACCACCTCCCCAGACTTCCAAGTATAAAATAATTAAGACAAAAATTAAAATAAATGTTTGAAAAGATATGTTTCGGAAACAGTGGTACCAATTAGTGCCTTGAGCTGGGTAATGGAGCCTCGTCTTGACTTGCATATTTTTCCAGTTAGCTTCTGCCAACCAAAAGTCGCAAAAGCCGCCTGTAGATGAACCTCGTCCCCCCAGTGGAGCTCTTGCTCGTCGTTTTATTCTTTTAGATCTGGTAAATAGAAATTGATCCCGGCTTTAAATTTGAAATCATAAAATAGCTTAAAATTACGCGATTCTAAAAGGATGTTCCACAAATCTGAGAGCCATTTTGGAAGCTAATTTCCGTAATTTCCGCGCGCGTTCATGCGCTGTATGATCTTCTCATGTTTAACGAATTCTAATACGATTTTTTTAAATTCATTGTTAAGGTTGGGTGGTATTTTCTCTATAAAAATTCTATCAAAAACACGCCACGATACCTTAACAAACGAAAATAAAAATAGATTTTTTGGAAAAAATTGGTGCAAAATCAGGGGTACAAAACCCCGCCCGGTGCTAGCTAATCGGGCGATGGGTGCTTTCGCATGTTTTTAATTTCTATTCCATAAATTTAAATTTTTAAAGAGGCTGTTAAGGTATAGGGGCAGCGTTTGTCCTTAAAAACTCGTCAGATACCTTCACGTCACAAGTGAACCACATAAAAATAATGTTTTTGAAAATATGTTTCAAAAAAATTTAGGTCATTATGTTCGTGGAGCTGGCTAATGGGCACTGGTTGTCGGGGCATATTTTCCCACGTAGTATTTCTCAATTAAGGCCATAACTCAAGGCCACAAACCTGTAGATGAACCTCATCCCCGGTAGAGCTCTTGCTCGTCTCCTCACGTGCTTCTTCCTTCGTTTCGGCATGTCTCGACACAATGCACGAGCATTGGGTCTGGCCCTTCGTGTTCTTCGCGACACACGAGAATTTTTGGCTCTTCCCCTCGAGGCGCTGGACTTCGAGGAGGGCCACGCCGTCTTCGCCTTGTAGTTTGTAGTTTCTGGAATAGAGATTTCGGTTCTTTAGGATTTCCGGGGGAGTTATTTCCGGGGAAACCAAATTTTTCGGCCCAAGCCTAAATTTTTTCTAAATAGCGTATGCGTTTCTAAATGGTTTTTAGCTATTCCTGAGCATAAAACTACCCACGTTTTACTTAAAAATTTATTTTAGGTCGAAAAATCTTATAGAACCTTTAGGATTACCGGGGAAAGACCCAAATGACCAATTTTCGACTTTTTCTAACATTTTTCTAACTTTTTTGTAAGGTTTTTCTACTTTAAATATAGTTAAAATTTACTAAAAACAATGTGAAAACACTTTATGTTTGAATACTAGGTCAACCGAGAAAACCAGGAAAAATTTGGTTTCCCCGGAAATCCTAAAGAACCGAGATCTCTTGGCGAAAAAAAGCAAAAAATATCGTTTAAAATCGTGTTTCAAAAATGAAAGAGTTTTCAGTGTGGTGAAATTCGGTACTGGGTCGAAAAGTGTCGCTGAAAAGAACTTACCCATCCTCGTGGATCAGTCGACCATCGACGAACCAGTCGACGCTGGCTAGCGGTTCGGCCAGGATGATCGTCTTCAGGCGGAAGGGCTCATCGCGCACGAGGCGGTCCCTGCAGGGTTTCAAGTTGGAAATGAAAGAAAGAGTGAGTTAGAGAGGGGAGAGAGGGCGAGAGAGGGTGAGAGAGCGAGTGAGAGAGAAAGAGCGAGAGTGAGAGAGCGACAGAGAGAACAATAGTACACTTACCTTCAGTCCGAGTACAAAGTACGGTCGCTGCGACGTGTCTGCCTCTGGCGGTGGCGACGCGAGTGTACGGCGCACGTTTGCGTGGTCCGCGTCATCTACGCAAACCTGAAAAATAGAAAAATTAGATTGGTTTTTAGGCTAAATATTTGACTCTTTGTAAATGAAGCTCTATTCCCCAAAAATTCAAAGTTTGGAAAACAATGTTTCAACAATGTTTGGTTTTTGGGCCCGTTCTCGTTTTACAATTCATCCTTCTGTTTGAATTTCACCTCAATTTCCGTGTCGTTGCGCTCCTTGTCGCAGATGACGCGGATTTGGACGGCTTTCGTTTGGAGGTCGGCTCCTGAATCGATGAAACATACATGTTTAAATAATTTTAACTACCTGAATTAAGCGAAAAATCAATATTATTAGTTTTTTAATTTGTTTTTATAATAACCAAATAAAGATATGATTACTAAAATTAATTATGCTATTAAACCTTTGTCTTAGGCCTTTTAAAAATATCCAAAATTAGCTTTAAAGCAATAAAAATCTTCCAAAAATCTATCTAAAAACCTTAAAGCCAAGAAGGAGTTAAAGAAACTAAATAAGCTTATGATAAAAATATCGTTTAGGATGATTCTGATACCTGTTTTTCAAGGATAGATCGGACGATGGGTCACTTATTACTAGGTAATAAGCATAATTTTGCCTTTGCGCTCTTGAAACACAAGATTATTATTTTGATCAGCTATGAGCTAATCAAAATAATAAATAAAAGAATAATAATAAAAGGTACGAAATTAGAGGAATAAAGGTCAGTATTGGAATTCGGAACAAATAGCTTTACAGCTCAATTTGATACACATTTTTTCTAGGGCTTACCGTGGTTGTTTTCCAGGAGTGTATTAAAAATTCATTAAAAATTGATGATATGAATAAAGTACCTTCCACAGTAAGCTTGCACTGCGTGGAGACGGCCCCAAAAGCGTTGGCGGCTGTACAGGTGTACGTCGCCGTATCGGAGGGTAGTGTTGAGCGTATTCTGGCCATGGTGATGCCATCCTCGGAGACCACTTGGTATCTAAAAGAGCTTACGATTGTTCGCATTTTCGAATTCGTTTAAAAAATCTGTGACAGAAAAATACAGACACTTTAAGAAGGAGTTTTTGCGAATCGAGACCGCATCTAGGTGAATCCATTTATATATGGTGTTATTTATTTATCTCTCTCCCCTGTTCCCGCTCTCTGTCCCTTCCTCGCTCTCTCTCTCTCTCTCTCTCTCTCTCTCTCTCTCTCTCTCTCTCTTTTTTTTCTTTCTTTCCCCCTCTCACTCTCAACAAACACCCCCCCCCCCCCCCCCTTTTTCTCCCCTCCGCCCCCCCTCTCTCTCTCTCCCCCTCTCTCCCTCTTTCTCTCTCTCTCTCTCTCTCTCTCTCTCTCTCTCTCGCTCTCCCTCTCACGCTCTCTCGATCTCTCCTATTCTCTCACTCTCTCTCGCTGTTTTACTTTTCTTCCACTTTTCGAATACAAAAATTAAGTTTCATCCCCGAAATGTGCTGCGTTCAATTTGGCTCTTATAATTCGGTCAGGAGAAGAGGCTGCTTTGATTTCTGAAGGATCTCTGCTAGCCTACCCATTTTTTGAGACCAAATTTTCTCTGCTGTCCTGCCCTCCGCTTGGGCTTCGAATTCCCCAAGAATCTCGGCTAGTTTGCGGGTCTTACCTCTTCAGATCCAGCAAATGGCCATTTTTCTCCCAGGTGACCACTGGCAAGGGCTGGCCGGTGAAGGAGCAGCGCAGTTGGATACCTTCGGCAACCTAAAATTAAACAAATTAAAAAAATAAGGAAATGGAAGGAAATAACACATGTAATTTTTATGGGAACTCCAAAAAAAAACGATTTTTCGGTTGCGTCTGGTGTAAAAAATGTTTCATCAAAGTCCAAAGTTCCGAAGGTATTTTTGGCGAACAATAATCTCGAACTCGGTAACGACTAACGTCTCGCTAAACGTTACAAGTGTGGTATAAGAGAAAAATGTGTTTTTTTTTTGTTTCTAGGGCATGCATTAAATCGATCTAACTACACCAAGAAAAACATCATCTAGAAGGCGGGATTTACACTAAAAAGTCGTCCATTTCGCTTCGTCGCATTAAATGTCGCCTTACGCCCCGCTCCGAACAATTCTATGAAACGCGTTTGTTTACACAAAAGCTTTCAAATCCAAATTCACAGGTGATCCTGACATGGTATAAATTTTCCGAAAATTCATAAGCGTTTTAAGATGCATTTTTAATGTTTTGATGTGCCTTACATCAAAACAGTATGCAGTATGCTGAGATTGGCATATATTTTTGTATGTTATCAAGAATTAAAAATAGAATACGGACCAGACCCGAATTTTTTATGAAACTCTTTCTTGCAAAAAAAATGTTTTGGTGCTGCCTGAATTCTTAACTGATTTAGAGAAAAGGATCTGACCAGCTTTTGTGGGCGAGGAGCTTTTGAAAACCCAGTAAGGTAATAACCATAAAATGAAAAAATGTAGATAAAAAGATCTAAAGATCATAAAAATCTTTAAAAAATAATTATTATAATAATAACGAATATCATAGCGTAATTACCGTTGTAAACAGTTCGGCCGGGAGCTTGGTGATGAACTGGGGCGGCTGACCGGCCATTGAGGCAGAGCTCGCCTCGGAGACGTCGAGCGACTCGATCGAGTGGCTTCTGCGTAGCTGCCCGGTTAGCTAAAAAATAGTTGGAAACATCCGTAAAAATTAATGAAGTCGAAAGTGCTTATAAAATTAGCTAAGCAAATAATAAAGCTTATAAATAAAGATTTATTGATAGTTCTTCTCCATTGCGTATTGATTAGGTTTTGATCGTCCAGGCCGTGGCCTCGATTCTGCGAAACATTTTTTCGAGTTTTTTGAATCCATTAAAAATTTAATATATAACCCTAATGAGATCCCCGTAGGTGATAGAATTACTGGCTAGGGAAAACTAACCGCGTTAATACCAAAATCAAATGTTAAATTTTATGCTTATATCATCCATTTGATGAAACATCGATTTTTTCTGACGGAAGGATCCGGTTCAGATACGACAATTAAACAACTGACTTGTTTTGAAAACCCTACAGTAAGGTACTTTTGACATCTTAAGGGTACCCACAATCGGCTACGAAAGAGTAAAGTCCTTCCGCTCCGCTCATTTCATAACGGGGTGCAAAAGCTATACTACCTTTTCATTCTACGAAACACCTTTTTCCGGCTTTGGGAAAATCAACTCCACAATGCTTCAATGGTACGTTCAATAACGCGGGTAATATTTTATTTTTCGAAACACCTTTTTGTCTGTTTCACAAAAATTCAAGACTTCATTTTTATCCGCAAGCCTGGTTAAACCGCCGATTTCCTTCGATTAACTTTTAAATGTCCGCTTGGTAGCTTCGACTTCGCGAAACATGATTTTTTTGTTAATCTAAAATCCCGAAATCGTAAAGATTTTTTGGGTTTAGATTTTATGAAATCCTGGCCCCCAATAATAAGCACCTCATGCTTCCTTGGTCTTTGTTCCCTGAAACATAAAAAACACCTCATTTTTCGTTTAAATTTACCAAATCTTTTTAAATCTTTAATGATCTTTACAATATAGTTATAGCTTTAATGAGTTGTTTCGGTTTTATCAAATCTCAAGGTAACGTACGCGTTCCGTATCTCCGCCCTCTGCCACGCCGACCACCTCGACGACGTCGGCCTGCGACTCGACGTGCGTCAGCTCGATGATGATGTCTTTGGCTTAAAAACTTATGTTCATAAATTCTTTATTATATATTTCAATACTTCATACAGCTTAAATATACAAATAATAAATCTATTTTAGAAATGCTTTGAATCAATAGAAAAATGAGACGAATACGGCCTCTTTATTTTTTAACTAGTCGAACTTATGTTTCAAAATTTTTTTGCCTTTAAAAGTTCCTTAGTTATATATTAAATGCGCGACAGATATTTCAAATCGTGATACATATTAATTTTGTGTTTTACATTTATTTATTTCATTTTAAATTCCACTTTTTAAAAGGATCCAAAATTACGGTACCCTCTTCAATAATGTCAATCTCGCATTGGGTGATGGCCGAGCCGGCAGAATTGGATGCCTCACAAGCCAATACGCCATTCCAGTGGACGTCCAGATTTTGGACCTTCAAACACGAATCCCCGTCTTCGGACGTGATCGTGATCAGGCTAAATGTAAATTAATCAAATTAAAATTGAGATAAGCGAAAATCTAATCAATTTACCTTTTATTATTTAAAAAACAAAGAATTTTTCAATTTTCGGACCAGGCTGAATTGAGATTTTAGTGAAATAGGCAGCCGCTAATCGAATGGACTTCATTAATACTGTCTGTAACATATATTTATTAAATTAAAAAACCCTAATTCATTTTTTTATCCTTTTGAACGAATTTTCAATTAATTGAATTTTGCAATAAATAGACCTGAATGGAACGGAGCCTTGCTTAAAACACCACCTTTAAAAAAAATGCTTTTTTTAAATATTCTGCCTCTTCTTCATGCGAATGCTTTTCAATTTCGGATGGTTATATCAATACTAATAATTGATTTTGAGTAATTAAATTAATTCAGAAATGCCCTGTTTTGTTTAAATTGCTTAAACTCGCTTACTCGTCCGACTTCAAGATATTGCCGTTGAGGAACCAGTTGATTTTCGGCTGCGGGATGCCGACGGCGTGGATCTGCAATATTAAATGTATTGAAAAATTTATTTAATTTCTAATCCTTTAAATTAGATTTTTTGTCAATCTCAGATTTATCATAAAACAAAATACATCCAATATAAAATTTAAATAAAATCAAATTCATTTAAGTATACGAATTTAATCGATTCGAAAACGGCATCAAAAACCGATCAAGATACTCGCGCTAAAAAAATGCGCTGCAACTTGCAATTGTATGAAACACATTTTTGAACGCCGGCCAAAACCAAATTAGAAGTTATTTTCGGATATTTAAAAAAAACTAATAATCTTGCTCAATCGCTTAAATGAACCGGCAAGGCATGTCTATTAATTTTTGCCCATGGATCCCAGACGGATCCTGGATGTCAATGTAAAAAATTTGCATTTTGTAAATATGTCTCATGATAATAATAATAAATACGAAATAATAATACCACCACGGTGGCGGCAATTAACTATTTTTATGGAAAGACTCGTTTCTGGAATCAAAAGCTAGATCATGTAGGTCGCTCGGATTGGACGTAGAAGCACACGCGGATATTTTAAGTTCTCCGAAACATCATTTTTATAAATAAAACCCTGAGCATTTTACGCCGATTAATTGGTGTATTTTCATTTAAATGATATCATATCAATCGACTGATCCATACACACAGTAGACGTACAACCACACGCGAATATTTCAAATTTTTTGAAACATCACGATTTTAACAACCCCCAACCCTTAGTATTTTAAGCCGGTGAATTGACGCATTCTCATTTCAATGATACTCGCTAATGATGATTTTATTAATATTATATTAGATCAATTACGACCATACATTCAACCATAGGACACTCAAGGGATATTTCTAATTTTCCGAAACATAATTTTTCAAAAATTTTTATAGTGCTTTATATTTTTTAAGCCGAGTAAAAGACATATCCTCTTTAATTCATATGATTTAAGATTTTATCAAACTAATTGAACATCGCAAAGGCGTCACCGTACCCAAAACCTGAACGCGCGGATATTTG